GTGCTGCCAGCCCACGCCCGTGTGCGAGACGAAATGAAGACCTTCCCGCCATCCTCGGAGCCGTCCCGGCGAAGTCCTCCTTCGGTTCCCGGCGGAGACTCCCTCGTCTCCAGGACTCCCCCAAGACAGTCTCCTGCCTCCCTCGCTGCTAGCGGAGGAGGACTTGTTCTCCGACGCCTGCCCTGGTGTCTCAAGGCACCCAGCGCTAGAGCTGTATATGCTAGTGAGAAACTAAAACCGGGTCCCTCGTCCACGGATCCCCGAAGCTCAAAGGCTGAATCCTCCTGGCTTAATTTTCATGAAGTTAAAAGTCTGGTCACTATAAGGCACCCTCTTACTCCAGGTGGCTTTGGGACTGACCGATTTCCCCAGCTATCTGCTGCCTTTGAAATGCAAAAATTCCTCTTTGTTAACTTCCTAATAAATTCGAGCATGCTGGCTTAACCAAATTAGTCCTCCCGCCTCTTCCTTCTCTCCCTCTTGGGCACTAGGACCAGGAGCATTTATTCTGACATCACAGTAGAGCTGCTGAAGTGTAGTTTGTGGAGCACCTGCACAGGATCACGCAGGACTAACTAAAGTGGAGATTGTGGAGTCCTCTTCCGGGACAAGCAGAATCTGCTCCCTGGGGGCTGACCCCCCAATCTGCATTTTAACTACAACCCCACTTGTAGGCTAAAGCTTCCACCTAGGTGCTGGCTGAGCTCCACTTGGGGAGGCTTGAAAAGAAAGACTGAACCTCTGGAGAGGCCAGCTGTGAGTTCTAGGGTGTGGAACCTGCAATTTCAAAAGCTTGTGGTAAGTCCTGTGGCTGGGCAGACTCATCTGAGCAAGGGCAGGGCTTTCACTTATTTTAGGTAAATGCTCAGAGATGGGGTTTCAGTTTATAAGAAGCCCCCACTAAACTGCTTGGCAAAGTGGCTGCGCTATTTTGTATTTCCACCCGTGATGCCTGGGATTTTCAGTTGTTCCATGTCCTTGCTAACACTTGTTATTGCCAACCTTTTTACTCTAGCACACAGATAGTTTATTGTGTCTTATTTTTCTTCTGTCTCTATTTTTGTCTAATTAAAAAACACAATAGTAGTAGAAGTGTCTTGTTTTTGGAGAGAATTTGAGACTCTCTCTGGTTGAGTTTCAGACTTTACTAAAGAGATCTGTTTTAGAATTCTGGCTGGAAATAGCATCCTGCGAATCACAACCAGAGTAGTAGTGTGCCAGTGGGACAAAGTTACCATGAGATAATGGGGCTCCACTAAGTAGTTGTGATTCTGAGAGATGGATTCTCTCATCACTCATGAGCATGGTCTCCCAATAGGTTAATGCAGACTAGTAACATCTTTGGATTATTGACAGAAAATTGCCCTTCTTAGCTGTCCCCAGAGGCTCTCATTCCATTCACTCATTCATTCATTCATCCAATGAGTAAATACTCAGAGTTCCCAATGTATCAAACATTGTTCTGTGTGTTGGTCTATCAGTGAAAAAACATGATCTTTGCCAGCCAGGTGCTTATATAATGTCTAGGGAGATAAGAGCTTTAAAAAAACAAAACAAAACAAACTAGAAATGAACTAGATAGTTGACAAAAGCAGCCCATGTCATTTAGCAGGAGGAGGATTCTTTGAGGACATTATGTCCCTATATAACAGATGACATTACTTAGTTTCTCAGCTGAGAGAGTTTTCAGGGAGTCACTGGGAGAAGGACCACTTCCATGTGGTATTTCATTGCTAGCTTAGCTGAGGAAGAAAATCAGGTGGAGAGAAGAGCTGGAAAGACAGGGCTTCGTGCTGTGGAGAGATCCTCTGCTGCCTCATCTTCCTCCTGCCTGAGAGCCACGTCTTGAAGGTTGGCTTTTTGTGTTCCTCACCTACTTTCAGCCACTGAGTCCTTCAGATTCTGGTTACTACTGCTGTAGTCTCAAAGCACTGTCCAGTTTCAGCTGTCACCATGAAGTGTTCGGTTAATGGGCCTATAGAGCCTCCAGGTCTACCTACCCCCAGACTCTCCCTCCTTTACCAGCTCCCTCACCATAGTCTGTGAGAGCTTTCCCAAGTCAGATCTGATCAAGTCACTCCCTTGCATTAAACCCCCAGGTGTCAGCATAAAAGCCAGCTTCAGATCCACAAGGCCCTTCATGACCCAGAGCCTCGTTGCCCGTCCAGTCCTATCACTGTGTCTTCCTGTCCCCTTGCACTTCATTCTGACTCGGGAACCCTCCATGGCTTCCCAAATGGATCATGCTCTTGTGTCTTTGATTTTCACAACTGTTTGTTTTCCTGTCTTTGCCGCCACCATCTTTCTCCTTTGAGGATTCAGCTCTCCATTTTCTCCCTTGAGAAACATTCCTAATTTCCAACAACCATGTGGGTGTTTTTCCTGTTTGTCCCCAGAGCACCCAAATACTCGCCCATGGATTGTAGCACTTGTCTGTATACTGTGCCATAATTGCTTTGAATGACTGGTCACTCTTCTAAATTTGGGTTCCTTGGGGGCAAAAATTTGCAATTCTTTTTTTTTTTTCTCTTTGTATCCATCACACAGAACCAATGATGATTGAGTTGGATGGATGAACAAAAATGAAGTTGATGAGTGATTATAGAAGCTAATAAATGAAGGGAAGGATAATGCACACATGGCATATTGGTTCACCTGTTCTGAAGGAAGGCCTGCCTTTCACATTGGTGTTGGAAATACATGGTGGAGGCCAGTTAGGCCCCTCACTGAGCCAAGATGGGAGGTGTTGGGATTTAGAAACCCAGGGTTCATTTCCAACCTCATATCTATCTCAGTTGGGACACTTTTGACACAACACTTTGAAAAAACCTTTGTGTTTTCTTTGGGTCTCGAAGGTGCTTTTCTTTCAGTGGTAGTTAAAATTACCAAGGGCAACACTGACTCTGGGGTTTTCCTGAATACTTGAGGTGCGGGAAGAATAGAAAGAAAATGGGGAGGAAAAGCAGAAAAGGTAGGTTAAGTGTTTCCCAGGGCTGCTCACAGTATAGGGTGGAGGACCTTTCTCAGCATGGGGCTCCTGAGAAAGGTGTGTCTAGACACAATGGTGAAAAGGTGCTAGAGCAGCCCTGGATGAAGAGATATGGGTGATGTTTAGCAAGTGACAGACTCTTATTCCAACCCCCCTTCCTTTTCTTTGCCCAGAATGGCAGAAGAGGAATATGCCACCTGGGATTGCTGATGGTTTTATTTTTGCATATAAGAACTGGGGTCCAGGCTAGAAGTATGGGGTTTTGAGAAGATTCAACAGAGACAGAGTGGGGAGCAGAACAGGTAGATGCACTGAAGTACACTGCTGAGGGGAGCAGTGGGCAAAAGATGAGAGATCTGCTGTGCCATGTGGGTGGCGTCTCTGGCAGGGGATCGAACTCATGCTGTAGTAGCTAGTGATAGCTTGATAGTGCTGAGACTTTAAAACCTTGTGCCACCAGGGAGGACCTGCTGTGGTTTTAAATAAGCTCATTGCTATAAAACAGTCCCTTAAGGTTTAGTCCAGATACACCCTCTCTTGCAAGACTCATCACTCCTCCTCTATACCAATCCATGGATGTCTATGTTGAGATTGTCACTATATGCTTGTCCGGCCCCTAGAGCAAGAAACCCACCAGAGTGGGTCTTACTCACGGAGACATGCCTCTGTCCAGTCCAGGACCTGGTACAGAGGACAAGAAGGTAGATTAATTATAAGTTCCTTCTGCCCTTCATCGTGATGCTCAGAAATCCAGACCACTCGGCTTGGAGGCAATGATGCTTATACTGAGATGACCTGTAGCTCTGATGACACCAAACTTAGCAGGTCAATAAACAAACAGCTTCTTTATGGTCAGATAAACAATGTCCAGATCAACAAATAGTGGCTTAATAAGATGTTCCTCTGAAAACTAGCCCCAACAGGAACAAGGAAAAGATGCAGGGGCCCACAGCAGCATGAGCCAAGGAGGAGGTATAAAAGCAAGGGCCTCTGAGAGCAGCCCAGCAAGGCAGCAAGCTCTCAGCGTTCACAAGGAGCAGAGGCACCACCACCATGTCTGGAAACTGCTGTTCGAGGAAGTGTCCCTCCGTGCCAGCCATCTCTCTCTGCTCCAGTGATGTCACCTGTGGAGGGCCAGTCTGCTTGCCCAGTTCCTGCCAGACCCAGACGTGGCAACTGGTGACCTGCCAAGATAGCTGCGGCTCATCCGGCTGTGACCCACAGTGCTGCCCGCCCTCCTGTTCCATGAGCAGCTGTGTGCAGCCCATGTGTAACGTCACCATCTGCGAGCCTGCCTGCTCCGTGAGCAGCTGCCCCCAGCCTGTATGCTGTGATGCCACCCCTTGTGAGCCCTGCTCCGTGAGCAGCTGCCCCCAGCCCATGTGCTGTGAGGCCACCCTGTGTGAGCCCTGCTCCGTGAGCAGCTGCCCCCAGCCCGTGTGCTGTGAGGCCACCCTGTGTGAGCCTTCCTGCGTGAGCAGCTGCCCCCAGCCCGTGTGCTGTGAGGCCACCCTGTGTGAGCCTTCCTGCTGCCAGCCTCTGTGCTGTGAGCCTTCCTGCCAGCCAATCATCTGCATGCCTGCTACCTGCCAGACCTTCCTCTGCAAGCCCATCTGTGAGCCCAGCTGTTGTCCATCTGTCTGTGCTGTGCCCAGTTCCTGCCAGGCAATGATCTGTGAGCCTGCCTGCTGTCAGCCGGTGTGCCCCACCCCAAGCTGCTGTTCATCTGTCTGCTCCATGGCCAACACCTGCCAGCCTGTCTGCTGTGACTCCAGTCCTTGTGAACCACCTTGCTCAGAGCCCAGCATCTGCCAACCAGCGGCCTACATGGCTCTGATGTGTGAGCCCGTCTCTGTCTGCTGTGTTTCCAGCCCTTGCGAGTCTTCTTGTGATGACACTACTTGCCAAGAGCCCCCATGCTGCATCTCCAGCATCTGCCAGCCCATCTGCCCTGAGCCCAGCCCCTGCCCACCAAGTGTCTGCGTGCCCAGCCCGTGCCAACCCACCTGCTACATAGTCAAACGCTGTCAGTCCATCTCGTGTGAGCCCGTCCCCTGCCCATCTAGCCCCTGCCAACCTCTCTGCTGCCGCCCAGGGTCTTCTGCCTCTGCCATCTGCCAACCTACTTGCACTAGGACTTTCTACATCCCCAGCTCCAACAAACAGCCTCGTATGCCCTCAGTTCCCTACCGCCCGTTCGGCCGTCCAATCTGCTCTGGACCCATCACCTACAGGCAGCCATACGTGACGTCCATTTCCTTCCGCCCTGCCTGTTACCGCCCCTGTTATTCCATCCTGCGCCGCCCTACCTGTATCACTTCGGTCTCTTACCGCCCGGTCTGCACCCGCCTGACTAATGCTGACTCCTGTAAGCCAGAAATCAAGCCATCCGTCTCCAGCCAATCTGACTGTGCTGACTCCACACCCTGCAAGGGGGACGTCCCTGAAGTCAATCCTGGCCAGTGTCCCGATGCCAAACCTGCGAGCCCAACCACCTGTGAGACCACGAAGGGCCAGCCAGCTCCCACTAAGTCTGCAGACTGCTGAACTGGCCTCAGCCATAGATTCCTGCCAAGCAAGCAACCAGTAAGAAAGAAACCTGACCGCATCGCCCAAAGCGCATGCTGACGTAGCTAGCATCCTTTTCTTTCTGCACTATCACTTGCCATTGCTTATGCTTCAGAAATCTCATCAGAAATGTCAGTACCTCAAAGTCCAAACGAAGGCTTCCTCGGTACTGACAGTGGGTATTCTGGGTTCCCATCTGCTGCTGCAAGCGAGCTGAGAAATAACCCTGTTGCCACATCACCTCAAGTCTCCCCTGGCAAATATTTTGCTCTGTCCTCAGGCATATGCTCCCTTGCCGGGTGCACTCATGTTCCTTGGGGACCTCTTCCTGGAGGTGAAGATATTTAATTGTCTAATAAATGTGGCTAAGTTGAAGTGACACGTTCTCATTGCTTTCTTGTTAATGGCAGATTCTCATTGGCTAAATTTCTTTGTCTCTGAGGGCAACCATATTCATTCACTCATTTATCCATTCATCCACTCAAGCAGCTTACTAGATAGCAGTTAAGTGCCAGAGACTGTGTTGGGCTCTGGGCCTGAGAAAATAAAAGTCTCAGTCTCCACTCTCAGGCAGTTCACTCTTTGAGGAGGAGACAGAAAGATAGTGCAAAGTCTGGAAGAGGTGAGCGCAGGCCCTGTGAGTTCAGCAGGGCATGGAAGAACCAGAGAAGGATTCTTGGGGAGAATGATACTGAGGCTGAGTCTTTCAGTACAAGTAGGAATTAACTGGCTAGAAAGCAGGAAGGAAGATCTTACCAGGTGGAGGAAATATATGCAAACAAGTGGGGCTCGTGAGCACACTGTTCATTAGGTGAAGCTGGGACAGAGGTGTGTTTAGAGAAGCTTTGAGGTCAGATAAGTGGACAGTGACCTGCTCTGTTTGAGCCTTGTATGCTCAACAGAGGCATTTGAGTTTGGTGGAGGGCTGACATGAAGGCATGAGGGTACCTTCCTGTGGGGGGTGACAGGAACCATAAAGAACACTGGATTTTGGAATTCTCCTCTGACCTTGGCTGGGAAAACCGAATAGAAGAGCAAGATCTTGGAGATAAGGAGACTTGGTGAAAAATCCATTGGTTTTTGAGGTCCATAAGGAATGGAAACAAGTGGGGTGTCATTCTTATAATAAGGAAGTAACCTGGATTTCCTTTTCAAGAGCTTTGCTTATGTTCTCCTAGTCCCTATAAAACTTATTCTTTGTGAAAACTCCATACATAGACTCTAGCAATCTCTAAGAACCAAGTTGTCTTCAAAGTAGTCAACTGCTTATACTCAGTGCATGAACAACGTGCTATCCTTTGTCCTCATGGTGCAACTTTGATTATCCTAATCACAGGCACTATCAACTTTAACACTATTGATAATTTGGACAGACTCTTTATTGTGAACTGTAGGCTGTCCTGTGCCAAGAAAGCACACCAAGCAACATCCCTGGGCTTTACCAACTAGATGTTAGTGGCACCCCCTGGGCGTGATGACCTGCAATGTCTCTACACCATGGAGAACATCCTTAGAGAGAGGGAGAGCCCTTGTGTGATGAACCTCTGGGGTAGAAAGTCAGAGGGAAACTTATCCTGTACATCAGTATTGGGAACAGAGGTCATTGGGATTTATCTTTCTCTCCTTTTATGGTCAAGAGAGGAATTGGGCAGGATTTAAAGTCTCTGTGTGAAGCATGGGCTTGGTGTTTCAGGTAAATCATAGTAATTATTTGAGATATAGTTTCTTTCCCCCTCAATTTTATAGATAAAGAATATGAAGGGCCACAATCCAAGTGACCATCAGCAGAGGCAAGAAAACTGTGGTATGTTCATTCAATAGAATATTATGCTGTAGGATATAAAATCAACTCACAAAAGTCAGTAGCCTTCCTATACACAACCAATCATAAATGGGGAAAAAAAATCCCCTTTACAAATTGAAACAAACAAAGAAATCCAATACTTGGGAATAAACCTAAAAGAGGTAAAAAATCTATACAAAGAAAATTATGAAACTCTGTTAAAAGAAATACAATACAAGAAGACTCAAAGATATGGATCAGAAGAATTAATATAATTAAAATGGCTATCCCACCAAAAGCAATATACAGATTTAATAATATTCTAGTAAAAATTTCAATGACATTCTTCAAAGAAATAGAACAAATATTGATGAGATTTATATGGAATCACAAAAAACCTTGAGTAGCCAAAACTCTCCTGATAAAATGAAAGAGAATGGAGGCATCACACTATCAGACTTCAAGCTATACTACAAAGCCATGATAATCAAACCTGCATGGTACTGGAACAAGAATAGACATACAGAGCAATGGATTTGAATAGAAAATCCAGATATAAACCCACAGTTTTATGCAGCTTATTTTTGACAAAGTAGCAAAGAATATGCAATGGAACAAAGAAAGTTTGTTCAAACGGTGCTGGGAAAACTGGGCTGTGAAGTGCAAAAAAAATGAAGCTAGATTACTACCTTGCACCATACACAGAAACCAACTCGAAATGGATTAAAGAACTAGACATAAAATCCGAAACCATAAAATATCTAGAAGAAAATGTTGGCAAAACACTACATGATATATACCTCAGTAACATCTTTGAAAATACATCACCCAAAGCAAGGATAGTGAAAGAAAGGATAAATAGCTGGGACTACATCAAGTTAGAGAGCCAGTGTGCAGCAAAAGACGTTACACAAAACAAAGAGACACCCCACTGATTGGGAGAAATTTTTTGCACACAATACTAATGACAAAGGACTGATCACACAGATATACAAAGAGCTGTTGAAACTCAATAAAAATAAAATGAAAACTCCATAAAAAATGGACAGAAGAGCTACAAAGACACTTCTTCAAAGAGGAAATGCAGACAGCCAACAGGAATATGAAAAAATGCTCAGCATCACTTGTCATAAGGACAATGCAAGTTAAGACCACAATGAGATACCATCTCACACCAGTGAGAATGGCACATATTAAAAGGACTAGCAACAGCAATGTTGGTGAGGGTGTGGAGAAAAAGGGAACTCTCCTACACTGCTGGTGGGAATGCAAACTGGTCCAGTCACTATGGAAAGCTGTTTGGAGGTTTCTCAAATTGCTGAAAAAGGAGCTTCCATTTGACCTAGCAATCCCACTCTTAGGTATCTACCCAAAGGACACAAAAACACTGATTCAAAATGACACCTGCATCCCCATGTTTATTGCTGCTCTATTTACAAGAGGGAAGATGTGGAACTGACCCAAATGCCCCAAAATAGATGACTGGATTAAAAAGATGTGGTACATATACACAATGAATATTACTCAGCAATCAAAAAGATAAACTCATGTCTTTTGCAGCAACATGGATGGAGCTGAAAGGGATCATATTTAGTGAGATAAACCAGAAAGAATAAGAAAAATACTGGATGGTTTCACTCATAGCAGGAGCATGAGGAATCAGGAAAAAAAAAAGCAATTGTAATAAAGTAAAAATGAAAACCAATGAATAACTATAAACCAGAGACATTTTACAGGGGTGGAGAGGGGAATAGGAGCAAACCTGGCAGGAGAAAAGCTCACAGGACAATGTTGATAGCACATGGGCAAATTGGTGGTGGGAAGTCCATGGGGATTACAACCAAGATAAAAAAAATGCACAAAATGAAGAATGATGCAATAACAAATGAACAGATAAACTTTAAAAAGAATATTATGCTGTAGTGAAAATGACTGGACAATGACCATGTGCCACAACAACCAATATAATGTTAGTTGACAGAAATAAGCCTCACACGCACACACACAGTTCAAAAATAACACATACACTAACATGCATGCATGTACATACACATATACACAAATATATATATTTGGAACCAATCATAATTCCAAAAACAATCTTGAACACCATAATCTCAAATGTTGAAGTCTCAAAAGGTCAAAATCCTTAAAGTTTAATATCTTAACATCCCAATGCCAAAAGATCAAAATCCCTAAAATCACAACTCAAATTATGAAATCCCAAATGTTGCAATTATGAAAGTCAAGAAGTGAAAATGCAGGTCAAGAAAACCCAAGACTTTTTCCTGCTGAATTATTTCCTGCCCTTTCACACATAGCACCACACTGGTCTTTAAAAAAACACCATCAATCAGAGAATAAAAAGAAATAGACAAGCTCAGTGGCCTGAACAAAAGTCACCAGTGTGGAGATTCCGCAAGTGTTGCAAAGCACAGTAGATGGTGAAATCCATAAAGGAAGAGGGCTGTTCCATGTGCATTTGCATTTGCGAAAGATAACTCTTCACACCATGCATTTTACTGTGCAAGATGGCTTATGAAGTGATCTATGGCGTTTTTATGTGTTTCTCAACAAAACCCTGCCCCCTTTTAATATGTAAGTACATTTCAACTAATGCAGTGTTCTGGAATGATATCTTTTGATCTTGTTCTTTTGGGATTGTGCTTTTCTGGACTTTCGGGATTTTGACTTTCTGAGACTTCAATATTTGGGTTATGGTGTTTGGGATTATTACCCAAAACCATATATGTGTGTGTGTGTGTGTGTACACACTATATGGGGATGATATATGGGAATGCTGAGTGAAAAAAGTTGGGATAATCACAGAACTAATAAGTAGCATGAAACTCTGTACTGTGCAATCCTGAGCTCTTCAGCATCACAGTATTTTTGATGTGGTCATAACAAAATGGTCACGGCTGATATACTAGGTGTTTTGTGTCTTGAATCACAGCAAAATGAAAGGTTCTCTCTATTGAGATACTTCTTTCTCTCCCCCAGCTTTTAAGGGTACAACTGACAAACTCATCGATATTTAAAGTAGACATTGTGATGACCAGATGTACATAGCCATCATGGAAAACAGACCATATTTATCTGGCAGCTGAAAGCTTGAACACTATTGAGAATTTCTTCAAGAAGAAGGGAGGTGAGAACAGAATCCGAGAAAAGTGGAAAGATGGATTGTCCCAAAGCCACAAGCATGGCAGTGGCGGGCACAGGAGGCTGCCCCTTCTTCAGACTGGCGTTGACAAGGGTTCGCCAACATGTCTCACAGTCCCACTTGATTGACTTATATAGTAAGACCAAAAACATTTCCTCTGGGAAGTTGAGAGCTTTGGGGTGGAGATAGTCAAGAACAAGACAGTAGAATGATTCCTGATGTTTGCATAGTTAGTAGGGTGATAAGGAAGGATTGGAGCTGCAGCACAGAAACCATGGTGGAGTGGGGACATCTTGGTGACAAGGCCAGGGGCTTCTTCCGGGCATTACGCTGATCAGAAAACTTCTCTTTCATTAAAAGGAGGGTGAGGAAAGTGTCAAGACGAAGGCATTTCATAGCTGGTATTTTGAAAATCACCTTCTAGAGTTTTCAATAACTGTGAGGCAAGACAATAAGAACAAAATCAACCCAAGCAACCATAGTGTGATGGATGAATATTTGGGTCATGAGCAAACGTGCCCAACAGAGTGAGTTAGTAGTAGAGCCAGAGAGACCAGCCCTGTCCGGCTCCCAAAGATTGGACTTTGTGTCATGTGTCCAGGGGAAGCCAGGCCCGGGGGAGCCCAGGGAGAACTGTGCCAGGGCCTGTGGGATTCAAGTAGGTTGTGATGGAGACAAGCCCAGAGGAAGCTGCTCGTGAGTCTCTCTGGGAAGACATTGATTTAACACTCAGAATACTTTGCAATGTTGTTTTTAAATCCCTTCTGGTGGTTGCATTTTTATATTTATGCAATTCATCATACGCTGTTGACATCACAGTATGAGTTTAATCCTCCACTGCTATTTTAAAATTTCCAGGTTCAAAGATGTCATTGAGTGTGTTAATAAGTAGAGGTGAGGGTCCATACCAGCTTGAGCTAGCTGATGATAGGGGGGCAGGTGATCCCCAGTAGTGCTCTGCTGTACAGTGTCAGCCTGCAGTCACTCAATGGGGATCCCACCTCCCCACAGAGTTAGGCGATCTAATAGTGGTCAAGATCAGAGCTTTGGGGTCAGCACAAAGGTTTGAGTCTTGTTTCTACCCCTTGTAACTTGCATCATTTGGGGACTATGATTTAAGTTTCCTGAGTTAGTTTTGCTACGTCTAACATAGTGAAGGCAACCTGATCTACTAAGGTCACTGCAAAGAATGAATAAACAATGCAGGCAAGGGCGTGGCATTGAGTAAGCTGTTGGTGGAAGCGCCTTCCGCTGTCTGTAGTAGCAGTGGTTCTGGTGAAGTGAAGCTTCAGGAAAGGCAAATGGGAAGCTCTAGAAAGAGGTGGAGACGATGAAGTGCTGTTTTGGGGCGCCCCATTTGCCATCTGATGTTGTCCACCGTCCGCTGGGTCACGGTCATTTCCTGGCTGAACCTGGTGCAGACCTGCATTCCTGACCACGCTGGCTGGGCCGCAGCCTCCTGATGAGAGGTTAGTGCGGGAAAGGGCCGCTTCGGGGAGGCTGGAGAACAGCCTGTAAAAGCAACAGCTCATCCCAGGAGCACCAAGGAATCCAAACTGGGCAAAGCAAACTCCCAACTCAACAGACGAGTTTGCAGAGTTGGGAACAACATCTCCGGGCTGGAAGCTTGCTAATCAGATGTTTGTATGCAAATGAGTGGAAACAATAACAAGGAATGATGCCCAAGTCGGGCCAGCGGGACTATAAAAGCCCCCACGTGTTGGAGGCCTCATTTTCCGGCGAGGTCTACACAGGCGCCATGGCGGACAGCTGCTGTCCTAGAGATGCCGCGGCCAGTGCCACGGTGCCCACCATGTCCATATACTCAAACGCTGGTCGCTTCCGCAGAGGGCTCTCTTTGCCCAGCTCCTGCCGGAGCAGAACATGGCAACTGGTTACATGCGAAAAAAACTGCCAGGCATCCAGCCATGCCCCAAGCGACTGCGAAGCTGCTTCTTGCCCACCTACCTGTCTTCCAGCAACTTCTTGTGTGGGTTTTGTGTGCCAACCCATTTGCTCCTGCACGGCCTGCTATGAACCCGGCGCTGGTCAGTCTTCTTGCCCGGTCGGCTCCAGCCAACTCTCCTGTTCGGAAGCCACCAGCTGCTGTGAAGCCAGCTCCTGCCAACAGAACTCCTGCCAGGAACCTGCCTGTGTGCCTGGGTCACGCCAGGGAGCTTGTGACCAACAAGACTGCCCGAACTCCCGCTATGAGGTACCTCCCTGTCCTGAGAGGTCTTGCCCCACCGCTGCCTGTGGGGTGAGCCAAGCGGGTTTAGGTCAGCCCGTCAGTGGCGAAGGTCAGCCCTGCCCACCAACTTACTACCAACCCATCTGCTACATCCTCAAGACTTGCCAGTCAGTTGTCTCCATGCCTGCTCCCTGCCAGCCGTCGATGTATGTGTTCAGTCCTTGCAACCCTACTTGTTATATGTCCTCCCCTTGCCAGGCGCTTCACTGCCACTCAGTCCCTTCCATGTCCTTCATCTGCCAGCCCGCGGTGAGCTGCCAGCCTGCAGCGAGCTGCCAGCCCCCGTGTTCTGCAAAGAACCCTTGCCAGTTAGCTTCCGAGGACCCCGGGAGTTCCGGTCAGCCAGCTTGTGGTGGACCCCCTCCCTGCGGCCAGAGCGGCTGCAGATCCCCTCCCGGCCAGCCGACTTGCTGCGTGACAGGCTTCGGCAGACCCCCTGGTGGTGGCGCCAGTGGCTTGCAACCAGCTCCTCCAAGTCTCTGCAAGAACAACCCCTGTTCGCCAGGTTCTTGCCAACCTGGTCACAAGTCCAGCGTCTGTCAGGCTACAGCTCACTGATGGAGGACGGGCGACTCCCTGGCCTTCACGCCTCCTCCCGGGCCTGCGACATCCGTGGAGCCCCCCTGGCGTCCACCTCTGGCCAAGCACTGCGCCGTCTGCTCGCTCACCTGTCTCTGAGTCTGGCCGCGTCCACTCCAGCTGCTGACAAGGCGCTGGTCCAGGGGCGCTGAGTCGAGATGTTCTCCTGAGCTAGACTGACGTGCAGCGGGCACCGACCTCGCCACAGCTTGCACTTCTGATGTTGTCAGTTCATTTCACGCCAGCAAACTCTCCTCTCCAGTTTTGCTTTCTTTTGATGCTTCCCAGCTGTTTAAGAAGGTTCCTTTGCTGCCCACTGCTAATAAAACCGTGACTGATTAAACATGAATAAACTGTGGTGTGTTTCATTCCTTTCCCTAGAGCCCTGTATACATGCCCTCAGGTCACAAGTGAACAAGGGGTGGGGGTTGGGGGCATCCCCGGACAGTGTGCGTGGGTAACCCGTGTCTAGAGTTACAGATGCCCAAGCTGGAGGCAAGTAAGGACAGGCGGTTCCCGGGCTTCCAGCCTTTCCACCCCCAAGAGCTCTTTTGAGATAAATGCCTCAGTTTCCTCACAGTGGAAGATTTGGGAGCCCGAGACAGAAATCGCCCAGGGAAGCCATAGATGAAAAGAAATACGAGGTCTTGGCCGTGGAGAAAAGCAAAGGGCGAATTCACTTAAAGCTGGTTTTAATGATCATTTTGTCTAATTTAAATAAAATGAAAAACTCTTTAGAAATTTAAGGGCAAATGCCTACACTTGGCAGCAGTTTAAATAACACATTTATTAGGCCTCCTAGAACTTGTCCTGAAACATCTGAGCCTCCTTTTATAAACAGTGTTCTGCCTGGTCTGAACACGCTTACAGCCGCATCTTTATTTATATTTCTGTGCAGAGGAGGGGAGCAATTTTAAAAACCTGGGGGAGTTTTGAGAAAAAAAAATTCTGCAAACATGTACCAACCCCCAGAGGTGGCTCACCCATGCTAACAAAATCTGCAAGGCTTAAGACTTGATCTCTCTATCCAGACAGTGAGTGTGCCTCTTATGCCCTTTGGAAGACAGCCTTTTTTTTTTTTCTCTCTCCAGGGGAATACCAATTATCCTGTTGGTGTGTATATTTTCTCAGCAGCATTATATATTTGAATGCTTGTGGACTTCAGAGAATGATAACATGTTAGTGAGCAAACGATCAAATAATGATGGGTCAAGGCAGGGTGTACAGGGACCTCAAAGAATCCCAGGCATGGAAGGAATCCTGATAAAGTTACTGCAAGCGCTTGTCCATTCCAATGCTTGATTGTCTTGTAATTGAATTCATGCCTGGTGGGTGGTGGTGGTGGAGGGGATCCGTCCCCTCCTTGGGAAGATTTTTTTAAAAAAGATTTATTTATTTATTCATACAGAACTGGGGTACAGGCCAGAGATGCGGAGGGTGAGAGAATTCACCAGGGATAGAGTGGGGAGCAGAACAGGCAGATCAACGTAGTACACTGCTGAGGGGAGCAGCGGGAGGGTCAGGAGAGGTCTGCCACGCCATGTGGACCTCCTCCAGGGCAGGCAGGATCGAACTCAACTAGTTCAGAAGTGGCTTAAGCTTCTTTTGCAGTGCATTAACCCGGTGCACGACCAGGGAGGGCCCTCCTTGGGAAGATTTTCTAAAGAGTTTCTACACTTTTTAGGTCACACTCACACTACGGGCCCTGAAACTTTCCCCATCAGAATCATCTGTGATGGAACAATCAGACTGGCAGTCTGAGCACTGCCCTGCATGGTCTACTTTGGGGATCCTCCAGTCTGGTGTGGGAGCCAAGGAACCAGGAAGACACATCTCACCTCTCCCTCAGTCCTAGCTTCACTTGAGTCCTCAATGCCAGTGATACTATCCATAGGTGTGTGGCAAATGGAGTTGGAAACTGCCACCATGAGTTGAAAGTGACCTGCATATGTGAGACATTATTATTTCCATTGGTTGACAAGAAGTTCAAAGTGTAAACCTTCCAAAAATCCAGCTGCAGGAGTAAATTTTACTTGCTGTAAAGTCAAACAAAATATGCAATCAAAATGCCCTGGATCAAGAACGAGATCATTTGGATATTGGACTCAATTCTGTCAATGACCGCTTGATGCAGGGCAAATACTACTTTCCTCTTTGTAAAGTAGGAATGATCATCTGTGCTTTCCCTACTTGTGGGGTGACTGTGAGATTAGAACAGGTAATATGAAATGCAATATACATCCAAGTCCTTATGAAGGAATCATTTCAAAACAGAAAGTGCCAGTGTATCGTTTAGCACCACAAAGACCTTAGGGCACCATCTCCGTGTGGTTATGAAAGTAAGGAGCAATCCAGAGGACCCACGACCACAGCCATGGTGCACGCCTGAGACTGAGCATGCACACAGATACCAGCCACCTGTGGAGACTCAAGACTTAAAGGAGTTGAGAATCTGCTGGAAGAGTAAGAGGGAAGAAAGGAGAAAGATGCTTCCAAGGCTGAGATCTTGACTTCATTACAAGGAGAGATGAGACAGACTAGCCAATGGGACACTGTGACATGTAGAAAAATGTGGAAGAACTATACAGCTAAGTAAAGCAGGCCCCCTCCACCAACAAGCCTCACAATTTACCAAGGCAATGGACAGACCGACTGGTTGTCAAGAAAGGTGGGGGAGTGAATTTATTGGCAAAGGTTGGTTGACATTTAGGAGAAAATGCCAGTTTGCTTCCCAGAGGGGCTGTACAAGTTGACAGTGCCCTCTCCCCAACCCCGTCAGGCCCCAGGGACTTACCCTGGTTCTTGGAATCATCAGGCTGAATGTGTTTTCCAGCATTCTTGTGTGAACTGGAGTCCTGGTGATGTTTTGATTTGTATTTTCTTGACTCCTCAGGATTGTGAGTTATTCTTTACATGAATTAGCCATGTGGATTTCCTGGAGGGTAAATTTCTATTTATATTTCTTGTCCAATTTTCTATCCAGTTGTTTGTGCTCATGGGTCTGTGGAGATACGGATGTGTTGTGTGTCCAGCCCTTCTCCCTATGACCGAGTGCCCATTCTCTGGTCCATACCAGGAGAGACAGAAGTTGAGCTCAGCCAGCCAGGACATCATGGGGGAAGAGTAGCCAGTGTTGCTAGTGATTCCTAAGTAACTGGTAAAACAGCAAGAGCTACTTAAAATAATTTTTCCTTATTATTCAAGAATCTGTTTTATCCATTTTTGGCTGAACTTTTCTTTCATAATAAGATTTAATTTTGGCTTGCATCTTTTAACTGCTCATTTTTTCCATCTTGTTCACAGAATGAGCTTTCTATTGAGGTGATGTTGGCTTACAGAACCACACACCCCCACTGATGCCTCTCCCATACCAGACCCACCACCAAAGCACCCACAGCTCTCTTGTTCACTTTTTTTTTTTTTTAAAAAAGACCAAGCTTTTGGCTTTGCTGAATTTCACTCTTTCCCCTTTGCTTCTTGTTTTGTTCATTCCCACCCTTTGGTTCCAGACCTGATTTCCTTCTGTATAGTTTGGGAGTATTGCTGTGACCTTTCCATTGTTCTTTAGAACAGTCTGCTCTTTGCAGCAGCCCGTGAGTTTTGATGTCATGTTTATTACAGATCTGCACTGTGGTTCAGACCACTCCTCTGTAGACTCCCTCTTGTGCATTTTGGCCTTTGACTGCTTCACTTTCCCCACCCATTTTCACTTGGGCTGGATAACCCAGGTAGGTGCTGGTATCAGGAGGCCAGGGGTGCACAGAACAGCACCCACCAAAAATGAATGACCTGATCTGAAATGCAGCAGCACAGAGGGTGTGGGCTCCGACTTAGCTCACTATCTAAGAGTAATTAAGCAACTACGATCACCTTGGCTTACCTTCTTCCCTAGGGATGAACTTGGCACTCTTTCCAGAGAATGGTTTTGACTCATGCTTCAGCTTTTCCTCATAAAACCCAGGGTGGTGTTTCGTAGAGATTGTGGCTGCTTTGGAGGTAAAGAAAATTTCCGTGATGTGTAAGCTAGATGCCCAGGACTCTGCCCATATTTAATTTCCCTAGTAATGTTCTCATGAAGAGAAAACATGTGTTGGGGAAGTTTCATAGAATATGTCCTGAATGTATGTATTTTACCAGATCCCTTCTTTACATTCCACTCTGTATGTGCCCAGAGAGACACCATGCTGAATTCGATCTCCTGACCTCAAAGGTCAGGTGCCTTTAGGTAACATCTGGCTTAAATGTACCAGCATAGCGCCAGGTATACACTCAGAGCTTAAACATAATGGGTGGCTCTTGAACAAATCTCCTGGCCTCACACGTGCATGTGGTCATTGAGGCTTTGGAAATAGGTGGGTAAATACACTTGTAAGCAGGAAGGGCGGATAACCGGGGGAGTGAGAGCTCTGAAGCATATGTGCCTAGAGCTCAGGCCACTTTTCTTGGTGTTTCTAGTAACACCTGAAAGGATTGAGCATGGAAGCTGACATCAGAGGCTCCTGTTCAGATTGCGTCCATACCAGCCTGGAGGCTCTGATGCATCCTTCCAAGTCAGATAAACAAGTTGGTTCTACCAGCTTGGGTCATTCTCACACGTAGGACAGATAATTCATGTGCAATGAAATATGAGTGTAAGACTTTAGGTGCAAATGTACTACAAAAAGGAAAAACACTGCATAGGTTGCAGGATGGCAAGGAATTTATTGGGAAGAGAACAGGGAAGCTTGCTTATGACAAGAAAAACAGTGCAAACATCACAAAAAGGATAATGAGCAATTGGGAAAGAAGTGATTATAAAGAAGTAGTAAAAAGGGAAGAAACAAAACCACTGTAAGGATTTCTGCTTTAGATTACTCTGACAAAGAGGGGCGATTATTTTGCAAATTAGACAGGATGCCTTTGGGTTAGGGAGACAGAGTTATCCCAGGAGTCCCATTGAGGAGATAAAGGAGACAAAGAAAATGAGGTTGAGGCCCCTGTGTGCCAAGTCACCAGCCATTTTACCAAGAAAATGACCCTCTGGAGAGTCAGGGAGTCTGCGGCTGTGGTGAGGGCTGTTGCAAGTCAGAAGCTTGCTCCGGGTCCCAAGATTTCAGGTTAGAAGGTCAACAGCTGCAAGGCTGGCCGCAGGGGCACCCCAAGCTCTCTGGGA